CCTCGGTGAACAAGGAGCCACTCATCCCAGCCTCCAGTGCTCCCCAAGCAGGCGCAATGGGTGTGCAGAGCCTGCAGCCAGACCCAGAACCAGAGCCTGGCACGGGAGCTGCTCTGCGAGACCCCTTGTTGGGAGAGCATCCATGCTGGGCATGGGGCAGGCTGGGCTCTCCCCTGGAAGATGGGGGGATGGCAAATGAGCCCCAGTGCCTGAGCAGAAGCAGGAGACTGCTTAAACTTATGTGTGACCTGAAAGTTCATGCAGTCCTTGCAGCCAGGCAGGGTGAGCTGGCCCCCAGCAGCTGCCTGCAGTGGCTTTTCCCCCTTTGCCCTGTGCTCAGTTCCTGCAGCGCCTGCCTTGTCCCTGCGCAGCCCGAACTGAGCAGCACGTGAAGGACCATCGGCTGCTGGAGCTCTGTCTCGCAGACACGGACCCCTCCACTCCATGCTGGGCCCTGTCACCATCCTTGCTGACACCCGTCCCTCACTTCTCACCCCTTTCAGATGGCTCTCTACTTCTGCACCGGCGTCCTGGAGGATGAGACCCTCTTTCGCCACTACGCCCTGAACGTGCCCTTCTACACTCACTTCACCTCGCCCATCCGCCGCTACGCAGATGTCATCGTGCACCGCCTCCTCTCTGCCTCACTCGGTGGGTGCTGCCCGGCAGCTTGTGGAGCAGCTCTGGGTGCTGCCAGGGGAGAGGGTGGCTGTGCTTGGCACAGGCAGGACTCCTGGGTTCCTGTCTTGCCTGCCCCAGGTACTGGGTGCTTGGAGTCTGCATCCCATGAGGCAGCTCCCTAGCACATGTTCCCTCAAATAACAGGAACACAAGAGATGAGCTGGGCATCTGGGTCCAGAGTGCCATGGCATGGCTCTGGAAGCAGGAGGGAGCATGAGCACATCATTGTCACTTGTCCCCTTCACAGGTGCCAGCTCCCCCATCAAGATGGAGAAAGAGGCCATCCAGAGACAGGCAGATCACTGCAACGACCGGAAGATGGCTTCCAAGAGGGTGCAGGAGCTCAGCGCTGACCTCTTCTTTGCCATCTTTGTCAGGGTAAGAGCCAAGGCTATCTTCCTCTAAGGCATCTCTGGATTTCCCCATGAAGGCTCAGCCTAGATGCCACCAGGCTAAGGGCTGCGTGGCTGCCCAGCTGGCCTTGGGGAAGGCAAACAGTGAGGGGACGCACTGAGCAACCACCACTGCCAGCACTCCAGGACCTGGAGACACTGGCTGCCCTTGGGGACGGTGGGATGGGGGATGCTGGTGTAGTGACAGCCCTGTCTCTTGACAGGAGTGTGGTCCTCTGGAGTCAGAGGCCATGGTGATGGGTGTCCTGAACGAGGCCTTTGATGTCCTGGTGCTGAAGTTTGGAGTCCAGAAGCGCATCTACTGCAATGTAAGTACCTCACCAATGTGAGACAGTGCCAACGCTGCCTCATCAGGGAGGGCTGCAGCAGCCTGGCGTTATTGGAGGCAGTGGCAGTCCTGGTGCGCTTTTGTGCCAGCCCTGTAGCCAGCAGAGCTGTGCCTGAGCCGGGCTGGCCAGAGGGGAGGGAGCCTTCATGGGGTTTCCCCTCCATCCCTCAGACCTAGGCAGGTATGAGGGGCTGGAGGGGTCTGGAGCAGCCCAGTCTCTAAGGACTCTGCTACGTGCTGGGGGTGATCTAGTCTAGGTAAAAGGGAATACAGATTCAGGGGGACAGAGATTAACATGGAGCTGAGGCGAGGAAAGGAAGCGAGGCTGGTTTTCATTTCATTTAATCAGACGGCTGTGACAGCACCATGGTAGGCCAGCACCTGCGGTTAGTGACAGCATCTTCTCTTAATAACCTGGTTATATGGCTGGCAATGGCATCTTTAAACAGGACATACAGTGTGATATACGGGCTGTTTGTGTATCACAGCAGCCCCTGATTTACGTGCTAGGCTCAGGCTCACGGACTGCTGCATCCCGGTTGTTAAAAGCTGCAGAGGCAGCATGCTGGGCAAAAGCAGCAGCGTCCCCATCCGCAGGCGAGGCGGAGGGGAAGGGCTGAGTGGGGGGATGTTGTCAGGGCCACAGGCTGTTCCCAATGCTCCCTCTGCCTGCAGGCGCTGCCCTTGCTGGGCTTCCACTTCCAGAAGGTGGGGAGGAAGCCAGAGCTGACGCTCATGTGGGAGCCGGAGAAGCCGGAGCAGGAATCTTTGCCCCAGGTAAGACCCTCCAGCACAGGTTGGGCTCACAACACCATGGGGCTGGCATGGAGGCTGTGTGCAACATGTGCTTCCCATGATCTCCACAGGGACAGGTCCAGGAGGCAGGACTGCCTTGCAGGCTGTCAGGTCCTGCTGTCCCTGTGTGTCTGCTCCCCAGTGACCCCAGCCTCAACCTCCTCTGCTGTTCAGCCGCACTCCATCCCGTCATTGCCCCTGCATCTGACCCCTCCAAGGCCTTCAGATTCTGCCCTGCCTGCTTTGTGCCCTGCCTCCCAGTTCAGTTTCCTCAAGGAATTGAATTAACGTGCTGTTTACTTCCTTCTTTCAGATCATCAATTAAGATGTTAAGTAAGATCAGGTCTAAGGCAGCACCTGTCTAGACCCTTCCCCCCATCCTGGCATTCCTTGCCCCCTCACTGGCACAGCCCTTCCTTCAGGTTGCCATCCCTATGACAGGGTTAAGACCCAATTAGGAGAATGTTTTTAAGTCAGACTTCCTGAGATGCAGTGTCAAATGGTTTAACAACATCTAGAAATCTCTCTCTTGTGTCCCTGTCATCTATTAACTTGGTAACTCAATCAAAGGGAGCAATCGCATTTGTCTGGCTTGATTAAGTGGTGCTTCTTTGCCAACTTTTGTCTGGCATCAGTCTAAAATCCCAGCTGTGTTGACTGCTGTGATCCCTGCCTGCTGCCTGGGCAGGGATGGGCGGGTTGAATCCCAACCTCTCCCTGCACGGCTCTAGGGGCTCTGTGCTTGAACCCCATTTCCAACCAAGCCCAGCACAACCCATCCTTGTCCACCTAGGGCTGGGTGAAAGGAACTCCCAATACAGTCCGGGCTGACCCTCCCAGCTGGTGTGATGCATGTCCTGGGGAGCCCTTTCCTTCCCAGGGGAGTTGTTGTGGTCAGAGCTGGCTGAGCTCCATGGCTGTGGCAGGCATTTCTGCAGGCCTCCTTCCCTTTGAAGCTGAGCTTTTCTTTCTCAGCTTGGCTCAGAGAAGCCCCCTGGACATGGCCTGAAGTGGCCTCAGTTCTTCCTTTCCTACAGGAGCAGGTATCACTTACACCCTAGCAGGGACCCACATGAAAAATGGTGTCCCAGCATGAGCAGGGCCCATTTTGGTTAAGCAAACACTCGGGGTAGAGGAAACTTCTTCATGAACCCTCCACGCCTCCTAAGAAAACACTGAAGCTCTCCCCTGGGAGCAGGCTCTGAGCTGTCCTCCGAGCCAGCTGATCCCTGAATTGATAAAACTCCAGCCCCAGGATGAGCTGGATCCTGGGGAGCTTCACTGAACTGCAGGAGATGTCACCCAGACACCCCATGGCACCGAGCACCCCCAGCTCCCCACCTGTCCCCGGTGCTTGGCCTCTGCTTCCTGGTTTGGCTCAGCCCAGCCAGGCAGTGGGAATGCTCATGGGAAGCTGTGCAGGTGTCTGGGCTGGCTGGCCCTGCCATGGAGGGGAGATGTTGCCCCCATCTCTTCCCAAGCTCCAGGCAACGGCCTGGACCTCAGTGGGCATTACTCAGGGCTTGAGTATGAAGTGGATCTGAGACTTGGGGGATTTGATGTGAAATCGTGCTGTTCCCCAGTGGTTCAGCAAAGGGATGAGGCAGGATTGCTAAGAGAGAGCCCTGATAATCCCATTGGATTCCCGCAGACGTGGGGGGGCTGCCCCATGGCCACTGCCCCATGTGCTCCTGCCAGCCAGGGTGGGCCGGAGGTTCGTGCTAGATAGCCGGCAGCTATCTGGGCAGCCGTCTGCAAAAGGATTTCCCTGTGGTTTGCTCCTCGCTGGCCACTTTGATACGTTTAAGTCTCAATGAGATTTTCTTGCTCTGAATGACTAATCTGGAGCAGCCGGCGCTGGATGAGCTGGGAGGGGTTTGACAAGGTTATGCTGGTGGCTCCGTGCCCGCTCCTCCTGCAGGCCAGCCCTGCTGCAGTGCAGGGCTTGGGGACGGCAAGCGAAGACCCTAAACGCCTGGCAATGGCCACGGGGCAGCCCCTTCCTGGTGCCCCAGCCAGCCCATTAACCATGCCTCGTGGATAGACCTGGACGATGCTTTGCACTTCTAATTCACATAATTGCATGAAGAGATGGAGTCAGAAGACCAGGGAGGTGTCGGCACATTCCTGCACAGGAGGGATTGATTTTCTGGGGTCTTTAGTCCCTTGTGTCCCTCTCATCCATCGTGCTCCCTTCCCGGGCCTCCTCTTGCTGTACAGGCGTGGTGGGGCCATTCCCTCCTTGCAGGATGCTGAGAAAACTGCTCAGCAGGACATGGAAAACCCTTCTGGCTGCAGCTCACTGCTGGCGCTTGGCCAAGTTGCTTCATTCAGGGGTGATGTGTGTTCTCCAGCTGGAGAAGAGAGACACAGGTGGGTTTCAAGGGAGGTTGGGACCCAAAGCTGGGGGCACAGTCACCCACGCTCCTTCCCAGACTAGGAGAACAAGACTAGGGCCTGATCAGGCTGGAGTAAGTGAGGCTGCTTTGGGAGGCTCATTTGGGTTTGTTTGGGTTTCCTGGCAGTGGTGTTGCCCTTGAAGATGCTGCATCCAGCCCCAGCCCCAAGAGCACCCTGGACCCCAGCAGAGCTATCTGAAGCCGTCCTGCCCCTTTCCCCAGCTCCCAATGGGTGCCGCAGCAGAGAACAGCAAAAGCCAGTGTGGTTCTAAGCAAATCCTGGTCTGATGCCAAGGCACCTAAAAACCCCTCTTCTCTCCATCTTTCTCTCCCTCGCTGAAGGTGATCACCATTTTCACGCTGGTGGAGGTCGTGCTGACGTCGGACGGTGTCCCGCTCAAGTACAGCGCCCTGCTCAAGAGACCGAGCTCGGAGAAGTGAGCGCCCCAGGCTGTGTGTGCTCCGGGCTGCCGACACTCGCTCACCTCCTGGGCCCCACACTGGCACCCGCCGGGGACGGAGGGGACTCACAAGGAGTTTGGGCCTTTGAGTTTTAAAACTGATGCCATTTTATTTCTGGTTTGAATTTTAACTCTGGCTGGGAGCAGGGCTCAGGGTTAGAGCCTGCCCCAGGCAGAGCATTTCTACTCTTGGATATTTTTAGCTTGATGCTTTTTTGGGTCTGTTTTTTAAAGGCAGCGGTGTCTGTCCCCAGCCACCTCAGGTGCCCGTGGTGAGGGCTGAGCAGGGATATGTGTCCCTGGGAACAGAGTGGGGCTGGCTCCACCATCCTGGTGGGATGTGGTGGGATGCAGTGGGATGCGGCTGTAGGGCCGTGCAAGGAGGGTTTCTTGCAGGGTTGTATGTTGTGTAATAAAAGCTAGGTCAGCAGCTGCAGGGGGAGCTCGTGCAGGTTTTATTTTGCCTCCTCCACATTCCCCTGGGTGGGAATCCCAGCAGTAACTCGTCTCCTGGGAAGCCTCGTGCCTTCCCCTGCCTGCTGCTTCCTGGGCATTGTGGAATCCAATCGGCCTCGCCGCCGCCCCCAGCCCCAGCATGTGCTTGGATGGTGGACGTGTGCTCTCAGCTCCCACTCCTGTGGCTGAGCCTGCAGTCTGAGCCTTCACCGAGCATCACCCGGTGCCTGCTCCAGCCCCTCACACCCTGGCCTCCAGCCTCACCCCGCTCGGGGACCCTGCAGCACCACATCCTCGCCTCTCCCTGCTGCTCGAGAGACAACCCAGGCCCTCATGGACCAACCGGGCCTTCTGCGCCCAGCACCTCTGCCTGCTCTCCCATGTCCCCCACTCATGCTGTGCAGGATGTCCCTGGGGACACGAGCTGCTCTGGCAGCCTCTGCTTCATCACACCCACAGGGACGGGCAGCCAGGAGTGGTGGCTGGCAGAGGGATTGATGTCTGGTGAGAAAGAGTGGATCCATTGCGCCAGGCAGGGAGGGGGCTCTGCCTCACCCTGCCTCATGGATGGTGGCAAATGGGGCCCTGGTGTGGGCAATCTGCCCTTTGCAGGAACCAGGAGCCAGCCAAACCCCAGGCTGCTCAGCTCAGGATGGGGCCTGGGGGTGGGTCAGGGCTGGCTACAACAGGCTCCCCAGGAGCTGGCGAGCCATGAAAGCCATTAGGGTCACCTGCAGTCCCCAGGGGTTGCACTGCCAGTGACGTCCTTCCAGGTGGCCGGGTGCAACCATGCATGGGTATCAGCTTCAGATGTGGGAGTCGGTTGGAGCAGCCTGTTCCTCCCCAGGTCTCTGCTCCTTGCTGGGCGCTGGTGACACTGGGCTGTTCCCAGCCACAGCAGGTACCTTGCTGTGTGGGCACGCTGGCACAGGCTGCCCCACGTGTGACCGTGTCCCCTGGGAGAGGGGACCTGAGGGCTCTGACACCAAAGGCAAGATGTCCTCCCCCTGTCCCTCAGACGGTGTCCCCCTCCTCAGGTTTGTCTCAGGAGAAGCAAGGCCAATCCAGCCCAGCCCAGCTCAGCCTGGCTGAAAAAACAGCACTTTGCCCTGCGCCCTCCCTGCCGCTCCCTGGGGTCCCGCAGGCAGCCACCACCGTGGGAGCTGGGGGCCCCCCGAGGTGCCCTGATCCCCAGGGATGGGCTGGAGGTCCTTCCTCTGTGGTGTGGGGGAGGAATGGCCCCAGGGAGGGCTGGGGGCACTGGGAGGGCCCTGGGCAGGGCTGGGAGATAGTTCTTGAGTGTTATCAGCCCATCATCTCACCCACGGTGGGGCTCAGCCCTCTGGCGGGACAGGGAAGGGCCATAAAGGGCTGTCCCCCCGCCCTGGACGCAGGCGGCATTCAGGGAGGGAGCTGGGGTGAGCAGCATGGGGTGGCCGCTCTCCCCTGGGACCTGCCTTCTGCTCTGCCTCCTCGCCCAGCTAGCTGCTGCAGCCTCAGGTGACAGCTCGAGCGGGGACATGTGGGACGGGGGGGATGTGAGCCTTGGTGGAGGGTGCTGGGGCCGGTGCCATTTCTCGGGGGGGCTCCAGGGATCCTGTCACCTCCCCATGGGATACCAGCAAGGGCAAACGCTCCCAGCTGCCTTGGGAGCTTGGGGTGGTTTGAGACCCCAAACTTTGAATGGGTTTGTCTCAGCCCCCACCAAAGCAGACCCCATCCCCGCTGCCAAGAGGCACAAGGCGTTTCCCTGCCAAACTGTGCCTCAGTTTCCCTCTCTGTGGATGGGCTCTCAGCAATGCTGAGGTTGCCAATGGCCGGGCTGATCTCCAAAGGGCTCCTGGCCCCTCCAAGGCTCCCACAGAGGCAGCTCAGAGAAGCTAAATTCACCTTAGGTGGAGATGCCCACCCTGGTCCCCGGGGGGTGGGGGGTGTTGTCCCCAGGGACACTCAGGGTGCCCAGTGCCCCCGCATGCCCCCAGCTCTGCTCTCACCTCCAGATGCCGAGAAGACCCTGAACTACTGGAATGAAGGGGCCAGGAGGAGACTGGAGTTGGCCCTGGCGCTGCAGCCGGCAGCACGGCGGGCCAAAAACATCGTCCTCTTCGTGGGTGATGGTGAGTCCCCCAGGTCCCAGCCAGGCCCCACGGATCCACAGCAGCCTGGGGATGTGGCTGGTGAGAAGATGGGACTGGTACAGGGCCCCTTCTCTCCGCCCAGCCCTGGGCAGTGCCTGGGGAGGGCAGGACTGTCCCTGGTCCCGGCCCCTTGCCACCCCGTGGCTCTGCCGTGCCCATAGGCATGGGGCTGCCCACGGTGTCGGCGGCTCGGATCTACAAGGGGCAGCTGGCTGGCGGCTTGGGCGAGGAGAGTGTCTTGCCTTTCCCCATGTGGCCCTGGCCAAGGTGAGCTGGGCAGCACCAGGGGGGCGGCCACCCTGCCCCTGCTCAAAACCCCACTGGACCCCATTTGCTTCCAGACCTACACCATCGACCGCCAGGTGCCCGACAGCGCTGGCACAGGCACGGCCTACCTCTGCGGGGTGAAGGCCAATGCCAAGACACTGGGGCTGAGTGGGGCAGCCGTCTACGGCAAATGCCGCACCACCTTTGGCAACGAGGTGGACTCCATCCTGCACCGGGCCAGGCTGGCAGGTACGGGGCAGTGGGCAACCCTGTCGGAGAGCCTGGCATGGCATGGCCATTCCATGCAGTGCAGGGCTGGGTGGGCTCCCCATAAACCCTTGCCTGCACTGCAGGCAAGTCCGTGGGAATCGTGACGACCACACGGGTGCAGCACGCATCCCCCGGGGCAGCCTATGCCCACTCGGCCAGCCGGAGCTGGTACGCTGACACCAACATGCCCAAGGAGGCGTTGCGGGATGGCTGCAAGGACATCGCCTATCAGCTGGTGCACAACACAGACATCAATGTGAGCCGGGGAAGAGGTGCAGAAGGGAGGGGACGCCAGGGACATCAGGAGGATCTGCTGAGCTGCAGGGCTGTGGCGGTGCTGGTGGCAACTCCCCACTCCCTGGCAGGTGATCTTGGGAGGTGGGCGGATATACATGACCCCTAAGCAGACCCCAGACCCTGAGTACCCGGAGGACTCGGATCAGAACGGCATCAGGAAGGATGGTCTGGACTTGATTGCCAAATGGCTGAGTGCCAAGCAGGTACTGCGCCGAGCTGGAGGGGACGTGATGCCAGGCAAGGGGCACATGCCATGGATGCCAGCTCTATTCTCGCCGGCAGGGTGCCCGCTATGTCTGGGACAAGAAGGGCCTGGATGCGGTCGAGGATGACTCTGTGAGCCACCTAATGGGTAAGAGCATCACTGACTGTGCCACTGGCAACACCTCCTCCTCCTCCTCCCCGCTCCAGGGGCACTGGTGGGATCATGAAGCAGCCCCAGTGTGGACC